TTTTCCCCGCTTTGTCGATAGAAAAAAGAAAAGAAGAAAAAAAAAACAAATAGTGGTTGTTTCAATCCCCCCTCGGGGAAAATGTGTCAGAGAATCTTATCCGATATCCGATAAAATTCCTCCCCCGAAAAATTCCCCAAATGCCCGAAAAAGTTGCTACCCGAAAGATACCCCGAAACAAAATCGTTGAAATTCCGCGGATTCCGCGGAGTTCCCTTTGCGCGGAACGCTGTCGAGTTCGAACGATTGCCAATCTTGTCTCAACTGAATTGAAGCCGCGATTATTTTTCGACACCACTCCGATACCATTGAAACGAGCATCACGCGAGCGTCATCGGCTGCTCAAAATTCGCTGGAACGAAGGAGCCGAAGGAAGGAACGCGACGGTTAATTACCGCTAGCTCGAAGATATATTGTAATTGCGCAACAGCCTCCTCGGGAGAGATACGTTTATCACGCAGGCTGCGAAACAGAGGTTGGCTGTGCCTTGTCTCTGGGCCCCGCGTGGATATCGCGCGATACGAGCAAGATTATCGGGCGAGGGAATACCTATACAACGAAGCCCATGAATTCCAATTAAAAGCCTATCGTAAGTATTTATAGGCCGAAGACGGGAACGATATCTACTGTTACAATGGCCGTTAAGATAATCAGCTTTAATTACGCACCTCGTAAAGCCTTTATGAATCCGGCCAGAGTGAGCGGGCATCGTGGCGCCGTGGTTTAAGCGAATCTTTGTGCCAAGACACAATGCTATCGGTATCACGTACCTGCAAATGAGAAAAAACGATTAGCGCTACGTGCACTTCTGGGTCCTTCAGATTTATTGCGCGACATTGTAATTTTTTTCGTTTTAATCCCTTTCTCAAATTGACAAATATTAAAAAAATTATGGGGGGGGGGAGAAGAATTAAAATACAAATTGGTAGAGGCTCAAAGGTCAGTCTAGCAAGAATAAGGAATAAACTCGCTGAATTAAATTGCTAGAAAATTAAATCTTTTAAAATTTACAATTATCTGGAATGAAAAGACTGAAAGAAACTCAAAGATCAAGTTTAGCAAGAATAAAAAAAAAAATAAACGTGCTGAATTAGAAGAGATGGTCTCGAAATTGATTCGTCGCAAGTAGCAAGTACATTCGGAGAAAACGGAAGGTCCTCGAGTAGGGATTGTCTTGATTGTCCACTGGTGGCCAAGGAATGAGACCGAGGCAAAGAACGATGTCACGGTTTATCGAGAAAAGCCAGACTGACACTGAAATACGAAACGACTCAAGCGATTCTCTCAAATAATCTGAAATAACCCGAATACGTTCGACCTACGATTCTACGGATACATGTAACGCTTTACGATCTTTTTTTCTTTTTCTTATGTAGAAGTTTAGAGTCGCATCGACATCGAGGTCATTAACGACTAGATGCTTATATTTTGCAGTGTAAATTTATATCCACCAAGTATCGGAGTGTGTCTCTTCGAATGATTTTGGAAAGTGATGGGATCTTCTCTTCAAAGTTTGTGCATTCATATAGAAATGTGTCGAGTTGTGATAGATCTTTGCAGAAGAGAGGATCTAATTCTTAATTATACTGGTTTCTTTTTTTTATTAATCCGCAAAAAGGAATTTCTTGATAAAAGTCATTTACCACGTTGTAGATCTTCGTTCGATTTGATGTTTCCCATAGTCGGTTCCATTCATCTTCGACGTTAGTTTTTTGCATAATATCTAAATTCTTGATATGAAACTTAAAGGGTCTATAACAACTGCAATCTGCTAGTCCTCTGCCGAAAAGAAGAAAAGAAACTCATAACCCAATGCGATTCAATGGTAAGGAGCAGAGACTTAAACGAAGAAACTTCGTTCCTCGACCTGTGGCATTAAGAACAAGCACAATTGACAAGCCGGCGTTCGAGTGTCCGGTGTGACATAACGCGAGAACGTAATAAAGCTCGCGGCCTGCCCGCTGGAAATTGGCCGGACAACGTTCCCACCGAAAAGAGTAATGAAACTCTGGCCGGCATCATAGTGTGTAGCGTGGCAGAACGCGGCACACAGAAGACGAAAACAACGGAGGCACGGATGAATTCTTTCGCCAGGCTGAAACGTTTCGAAGTGTTTGGAATTTCTTCGCTGGAAGAAACTTGCAGCCACTTTCGCTCGTCTTTTTTTTTCTTTTTTCTTTTTTTCTATCGGGAGGGGAAGCGAGAGGCAAACCCCCGTAGGAATATTTCCCTGCGGAAACTTTTCATCCTGTAATTTCGACATCGTTGTCTTCCTTTCTTTTTCTCTTTCTCTTTTGTCCCGCGGAAATTCGCCCGACGTCGAAGTTTCCTTCGTAATTCCCAACGAGAGAACGTTATTGGAAATAACAGCAACGGCGATGTTTGCGATGTTTCGGACGAAGTTTCGCCACGTCGCCGCGACCCCTGCGAGATTCTATCTGAGATCTTTCGGCTCGTAAGCAGCGAGAAACTAAGCAGTTTGCCGGAAAAATTTCTTCTTCTTTTTTTTTTTTTTTCTTTTTAACGAACACGCTTCGAGGAAATCTCGGAAAGTTGTTTCCTTGCCGGGGCACGGAGA